TCCGCTCTCGAGTGCGGCGCGACGCCTCGCCCCGGGCGAGGGTGCGTGCCGCGCTGTTTGAGCGAGCACGTCAGCGCTCTAAGCATCGAGAGCCTGCGCCCGAGCACCGCCGGCAACTACTCGTGCTCCGCCGTTCAAACCCGCCCCAACGCCACGCACTTCCTCGCACTGCTCGGTCAACGAAACACCGCACCATCGTCTGGCTACGCCCCAACCACGCCTCCCGCTCCCGCTTCCCGTTCCCGTCACAGACAACCCTCCACCCCCACCCCCTTCCCATCGCCAGCGTCCCCCCCTCCCCGGCTCACGCCTAACCTCATCACTACTTGTGTCTTGCGCCAAACTTCCATTCCGTGGATCCTCACCCACAATCCCCCGTCCCCACACACCTTCACCTTTCACTCACTTTTCCCTCTCTTCGCTCCTATCCTCACAGCAGTCCTATTTACACACACTAAGGCCTCTTGATCCCCATCACTGTCCCACGCTCTCTCCCTGTGACGACCGACCGACTTACAGCCCTTCCCTACTACCGCAAACAGCGCCCTCGCCGGCGCAGCGCCAGCCGCCAGACGCCACCTGCAGCTGGTTCGTATGCCGAAACTGCCCAGAGAATATATAGACTGCAATGCGAATTTTGTAGGTAAATCCCTCTCATCAAACCGTGGATTTCTAAAGAGCCGGCTCGCCTGTCGGCTAAGGAGGGTGTAAGTGAAAGATTACTTTTAAGAGGGTTCCTAAGAAAATTCATTACTGGTTTCTGCTGATCGTAGAGTCAACACGAAATATCTTGAAAGTTGTACGATAATATTTATTAGCAAATATTAAGCCAAAAAGACGTCAGATTAAAAATAATAATTCAATTATTAAACTGGGTAATATGACGTTCCTTACGTTCTGCCAATACCGTTCAGACACAATTTCAAAAAACATTCAGCACTTACTGTGCAAAACATCAGTGAATACATTTCATGAACCAATTAAAGCACGCACGAGCGATTAGTGGCGCGCCATCTATTTGTAACAATACAACAAAACACCACTTTACAAGTCAAAAACTTCATTACATTACATAAATTACCGCTCAATATACCTTTATTAGGTGAATACATTCACTCATTTTCAGCAAATCACTCTCATTACGATCATCATTAGCACATATTTCTCTTTTCTAGTTTTAATAATATTTCAGTAGCATTATCACGAAGAAATAACATTTTCTGTGCCATTTATTCACTCGGTCCATTTAAGTGAGGCTCCACCCTTATCTTTAGTGCCCCTATCCACCGGCGCGCTCTCCCGCACCCCCTCCGCTCCCCCACGCCCCGCCCACGTTCAGCCGCGATGACTTGCTCGGCCTCCGCGTGGACGCCAAGAGCCCTTTCTTCTCCAGTTCCCCCCGAGATAGTCCGTTCACTTTCGGAACCTTTATCGAGGGCGTGCGCACGCCCAGTCAGTGCGTGGTGCAACAGGGCGCGCGCCCGGTCAAACTGTATGGCTAAATGTATAGAGTCCCTCCCCCTGATTAGGAACGCACGTGTCGCAAGACGTCGTCTCTAGCACTCTGGCATTTCCGCATGTGCCGCGCACGCCGGCAATCACACATGCTGCCATCAACAGGGCCAAGACGACTCGCGCCACGGCGCCTCTATTGTCACGTGTAAAGTAGCCCCCCCGCAAGTGTGTGGTCTTCTTTCCGTTTCGTGTGGCACCCACGCACGCTCCGCCAACCCGCGCGCCACCGCCAACTCACCAGCTTCACTTGCACTGCCGGCTCTCAACCGCCCCGCCACCCTCTCACCAGCCACCACTCTCACCACCAACTCTCTCTCTCTCTCTTTTCTCACCACTCCACCAGCCCCCACACGCCGCGCGGGCCGCCAGCCGGCCCCGGCCGGCCGTGCCCGCCGCGCCACACCCGCTTTCTGGGTTCCTTTTGCACCCAGCCGGCGTCGGAAAACGCCTCGCGCGGTCGCGGGCCGAACCCCCCCGTCCCGCCCTTTCGTGCCACCACCCCTTCTCGCGGCCGCCCCGCCCCGCGCCCTCCGCGCCGCTCCCTTTGCGCCGCGGCCTGCAAAGGCGACCGGCGTTCCGCGCACCACGCCCTGGCCGCCCACGCCGCCGCTCGCCCTGCTGCGGCCGCAGGCACGGCGTCGGCTCCGCGGTTGCGGCGCGGGCGCGGCCTCGTCGCTGGCCCCGCTATCCCCCCCCCACCCACCCTGCCCCCTCCCGGCGCGCCTCCGGCCAACTCCCGTTTCGACGCCCTGTCTGCCACCGCTTGATGGGCTTGTCAGTTGCACCTAAGAGGCGCGTGCCTTGAGTCTTTGCGGCGAGAGACGCCGCCGCCCGCCCCCGCGCGGCGGCAGCGGGCCCCGCCGCCGCGGACGCTCGCTCCACACCCATCAGCCACCACTTACCACCTGTCTCTTTCACCATCAACCGCTACACCTCGCAGTAGCACGTTCTCGGCACCCCGATAGCGCGTCGCCGCGCCGGGGGATGCCGAGAGTGTTAGTCTCTCTCTCGACCCCCGCCCCCTCGGCCCCTGGGTGCTAGCGAGCCCGTTTCTACCGACCCTGTGGACTCACACGTACATGCATTCGGGGAAGGCTCCTCGTGAATTTCCGTGTTTGAGAGACCCATTCGGCTTACGCACATTAAAGAGTTTCACGGAAAGGGAGACATTACTGGGCACAATTACGAATCACAAAGAACCTTCAACGAATGCTCATTTCATGTACGTATGTAATTATTGAATATAATACCCTGTACAGTGGTATTTAAAACTAAATACTACTTTGAGAATTAACAACATTACCTCGGATGGTTCAGAAATAAGAGTGTTATATTGCAGATTGCTTTACTTTGCACAGTAACATCGTTCCAAACTGAAAAATACCTCGAGTAATTTTAAGTGCTACGGCAATAAAGACAGGATGAAAATTTTATTGCACTAAGCAAAAAAGTAAGAGCCTTCCATTAGAAATCTGCGACACGAGGCAGAGCAGACTTTACGGCAAATTAGACACATGTTGAGTGCGGGGCCGGAGGGCGCACGAATTATCACGGGAGCCATATGAGAAACTGTGCTATCTCGGCGCCGAACTTCAGCAGCGGTTCGCACGCATAAGGCCTTGCTGCACATTGCCAGCCAACGACAGAAAGCGCGTGACGGAAAGAATTCTTAATCATGTGCTCTTGGGAAAAAAAGGAGATGGAATTTATTTTGTGTCCCTCAAAAAGTGTCATGAAAAAGTGACGAGCTGGCGCCTGGGTCTGTTTTCATAAGATACTGTCAACGAAAAACTAGAAAACATGCTTTCTAACTTCAATTATTACATGAAATATGTGACACACAAAGAGAAAGTAAATACTCGAGAATATGCTTTCAGCATATCCGAATACCTTCTGGTTTTATGTACTAAATTCTAAATGGCAATACAAAGTTAGTTTAAATTTATGATTTTTGTCAATAAAAATTTTCACATCTGTACGTTTAAGAAGAAAACATGAATTTAGACTAGTCAATGTATGTTCAGGGAAAGAAGTCAATAGGCGGTGTAAAATGCTGTAACGCTCAAATGCTGTGAACTTAAATGGACAAAATTATTACGATATTAACTCATTAAGTAATGGGGCATACTTATATAAACTCAGAATACTAAATTTTTTTGAAAAAAGGGAAAATAATTTCAAATGTTGAAAGAGATCTTCAAATATGCTAATAAACATTAGATATTCTTGCTGTACATACCATTAACTACTCAGAAACTCTTCCTAATTTAATAACTTTGTAGAAGGAAGATTGCCTTGTAATTAATACTCCAATCCGAATGTATGGTTTTCTAGAGATAAACTGTTTATTATCAAATTTCATGAATGAAAACTCCGGAATACTAATTAAACCTGTAGTGTTACAGCTCAGCTTGTCATACATTTTAAGACATTTGGTCTAGCTGTACTGGCTACGAATTAGGTGGTAGCCCTTAAACGGGTTTCGACTATTTATCTAAAAAAAGTATTTTGTATTCTAACAATGAGTATGTATCCATCGAGATGAAGAAAACCCAAGCAACTTTACGAATAAAAGGCCATACGTACTTAATTACATACGTCTCAGCCAAAGGCCAGTCCTCGCGCCCATCCGGCCCCGTGTCTCCGCTCCGGCAGGCCTTCAGCTCGTCGCAATCCGCTGCAACGTAGTGCCCTTAACTCTGTGCCACCCGTTCTTTCACGTACTTAACATTCCCACACGCAATCTGCCAGTCCGAGCTACTTGTCGGTACGCGGGGTGTACAGCGTGAGCGGTGGACGGACAGGCGGCGGGCCGGGCGGTGAGCGGGCGAGCGGGCGGGCGGGTGAAGCGGCGTGGCGCGTACGCAAGCACGCACGTGCGCTCACGCCCCGCCCACCCGTCCGTCCGTCACCCAGCCGCCCGCCCGCCGGGTCGCGTTCCTTCGCGCGCGCGTGTACGCACGCACGCGTCCGCCGGTCTCGGCCGGCGCAGCAGCGGCCGCCCGCCCGTTGCGCAGTGCCCCCGCGCTGGCTGCTGGAGCCCCGCGACGTCAACGTGACCCGCGGGCAGGCGGCCGCCTTCGACTGCCAGGCCGACGGCTTCCCCGCGCCCACGCTCGTCTGGCGCAAGGTGGTCGGTGAGTACCCGCGCGCGCCGCGCGCTGCTTGGAAGCGCCACTGGCGGCCCAGCACTTGTCAAAATGGCGCGCGCTCCCTTGTGTGTTTGTGCAGCGCGCCTGGAAAGTCTCTCCGCAGCGGCACCTTGCTGGCGAGAGTGCTTGAAATATAAATTATATTGGTAGCACGAAGTGCAGCGTGTAACAAAAGAAAAAGTAAATTGGGTACTCAACTCAATCATAATAGATGCTGGACGTGTTGTCCCCTTCACTTGCTTTCCAACGATCTGGTTGCTACCAATATAAATGCAATTTTGAATATAAGGCCCTGGTTTGTCTCCGTGCGGAGAGAATTTCCTGGTGCACTGAATGTTCGTAGAGATTTTTTGGGTAGTGCCGGAAAACGATATAATGCACATTAGCGGCAAGTATGCCCCGTATCGTTGGATGTGTTAAAAGGGTTTTACATATAGTGACTAATCTAAGAATACAAAAATATAACTTTCTTAATGACATATCCTCCTGCTTTGTATTTGTTCGTCTACCAACATGATGGTGCGTCAAGATAATATGAAGTTAGCAGCACACACAACCGTCGCAGTTAAAAAATTTCATTTATCGTGATGTCGTGACTGGTGCCTACCACGATATGTCATGTGATTATACTCTCTAATAGTGGTGTAGTATCGTTTTCCTATGTGACTTTATCGTAACGTTAGCTTCGGCGCTTGCATAGAGGCGCAAGGGTGTGTTTAAATCGTTAATAATAAAGTGCTTCATGCTGTGAAAAAATATGTAAATATTATGAAAATTCAGTTCTCATGTTTTTGATTTATCGATTTGGAATTTCACGTTATAAATAACAATTTTCACAGTTCTATTCCAGAGTATATATTTATATCTCGTAAAACAGTTATACATTAATACATATATTTTATCGTTTACTGATACGATATTGCTTGTTATTGTCATCAATACGGAGCTCGATAAACACTGCATAACTTACGTGGACGGTGGTTACGAGAGAAATATGAAAAGAGTTGAATGAGGCTACTTGTTCTCTTATAAATGAAATTCTAAGAAGGAATAATGAGAGAGAAATGTGAAAAGACAAAGTGAATATATATAGTCAATTAGTAAATAAGAAAATCTGAATTTTTAAAATAGGTAAAAAATAAAATCTTGAATGTATAAAGGGAGTTATCTGGTTCTAATGGTGGAGTGGCTTCAAAAAACAAAAAAAGGCCTTTGGTTCCAGGGCTCTTTTCTGCCATGCGATAATTAGAACCCTTGTAACGTCCTTGTGCATAAATAACTATTTTTAATAATATATTTGATAATAATTATTTTTAATAATAATTTTTAATGATAATTATATTGTTTCTCAGTGTGACAGAGGTGAGTTTAAAGAAAATAATTTTTTTTCGATATCTCACTTATTTATAACAAAACTAAGTAACATCTTTGAAAGTTTAAAGATTGATCAGCACGTTTTACGAGGTCTTCATTTGAAAGTGTAGGATGACGTTCCTGTTGACAGTTAAGTAAGGCAGCATCAAAATTGAAGACTGAAATTTAGATTTGGTTTTAATATTGATTGCTCATTCATAGAAGTCTGTACGTAAAAACATTGCCAGGAGCCAAATCTCTTCATGTTATGTGATGCGAAACTATGCTATATACATAATGGCATATCATGTAGCATTAGTATTACAAAAACTAAGATTGCTTACAAAGGATCAAAAATTAAGACAGTAATTTTTTTTCCAAAATCTCTATCTACACAATTTTCTACACTATCACACTTATGGAATAAAAAAATTTCCATTCCACCCTTCGACACACAACTCGACGTGAGATTTTTGCTAATAATAGTGTGGCAAAAGACCGCGTACATTAGACACGCTTAGGGTGCAGAAATAACACACGAATAATGAATAAACGACACCCACATAATTTTATAAACTTCTTTTCATGAAACTTCATGAAAATATTACCGCTGCCATGGCTTTCCATTTGCAGATCAGTACTTTTTATAGGAACGTATTTATTGGACACAAAAATATTATTAAGTGATGCAGAAATGCAGTATACAGTGCACAATTCTGCTACAAAACTGTTTTCATAACACCAAAGACTACAATTGCCCAGTAATGCCAATAGTAGGTACATTTTTTGCCCACAAATAGCCTGACTTGGACCTCGCGTGTATGCACACTGTATTTATGTAATTTATCATGGGAGGAATTTGGCTAGATCCGATTTTTATCCCCTAGGGTTGTTTACCCTGGAGGTATGGAAGATGAAATGATTATGATAGTGAGGGGTGAAAGGATGACACACACATACAGACATACAAAACACAACCACGCCCGAGGTGGTACTCGAACCCGAGATCTTCTGGTCCGCGACCGCTACGGCACTACTGTCTTTGTGATCTCGGCCATCTGATCGGCGGTAAGTATATTTTATTTTAAAAATAAAACAATAAAAGCAGCACTAAATATAAATACATTTCAAAGTTACAATAATGTTACATGTATAAACAAATTTCAGTGATACAAATTTGTATCAGTAACAAGTATTGAAAATCAGCTTCTGGGAAAACTATGCACATCTTAATCAGGTTTTTGGCCCAGTTTCCATTGATGCATTGAGAAAATGCTTAAATATAAGCTTACTTTAATTTCGGTCTGCAAATATTTCTATGTTTGTCCATGTTTCTTGAAATCTCATTTTACTAGATGCAGGAAGAGTCGGGAGGGTGCTAGTGCCTGCAGTATTTTCAAATCAAGTCTGTAGCTCGTTCGAAAATGTAAATAGTTTTGTTTTCAAATAATTTCAAAACGTATTATGCTACCTTTATTCAAAATTGAACTAAGTATAGTAAAAGAGAGATTATAGAAATGTAGAAGCTTAACATGAGTGTAGATTGTACTCTCATGTCTCGGCATATTTTACATAATTTTTACAACAAATAAAAGAGTAAATAAAGAAACTAAAAATATATCATTCATTTTATTATATATTTTTCAAGATATCTGACACGTTATCATTCTATTTATTCATCGAGAACGAATAATTAATTCTAATTCATTTTTTCGTTCAATCCATCTACTCACCTTCTTGCTGTCCACTCAACTTTCCACGTTATCACGTATTTCAATCAGTTGCTTATTTACGTTCAATTTTTATTAATATAAGATGCAATAATATGAGATGCTATAATTAGCAATACACAGCGTAACTTTTTCTCGGGTCCTAAAATTAAAAAACAAATCAAGAACATAACCACCACACGGAGATAAACGGTAGTTCATACGATTAATCGCGAAGTAGATTGCACTATACAGTACAATATATTTTGGAAGAAAGAAATTCTTAGCCATGTTCACGGAACTGCTGTTTAGCAACACACTAATGCACGTAAAGTTATGTTCACTAAACAGGTCGTACCCCGTGACGAATGCCATTTAGTGGCGATAACTAAACGAATCGTTCGGTTGACTAATGCATGGAGTTACATTTACTTAACACATTGCAAGGAAAATAACTAAACGAATAGTTTATTGAATATTGTAAGTTACTAAACGCTGTCGAGTAAGCCTAATTAAGCAGAAACGTGCAAGGGTATACTTTCTTTCTAACCCTTCAGCAGGTGGAAACAATTGGGCATCCAGACCGGTCACCTATCCAACCTCCCCGTGGACTCGTACTTGCTTAACCTCCCTTCCCTGCCAGATCCTAGACAAGTAGAACAGCTAAGGACGCCGGCTGACGTTCGTATTAGGCCACAGAATGTATTTCAACAATTAGTATAGAATAGAACACACAATTATTTACAATAAATAAATAACGGTTCACGCCATTTATATATGTATAGAGTTGATTTTTCACAGTTCACATAGGCACTATAACCAATTGAATTAGTGAAATTGCTGAGAACGCGCGTTTACTAGTGTTTAGTAAGTGTGACGACATAAAACGTAGATCTCACCGAATGATTTTATCTACGAAACAAGTATAGTACCACTGACAATTCTTGTTGTTCATTCACTTACCATCTTCTTTTGTCTGATTTGCTAAAAGAAAGTAAATTATGTTTAGTGAATCTTACCACCCGAATAATTGTCTTCACTATATGATCTCCAACTAATCGTGTTTAGTACGTTGTACTACAACATTTCCCTTAGTACAAGTTTTCTTCCTTAATTACTTTCCTCTGCATATTCTTATCTTAACTGATTCCTGGACACACACGATTTTTGTCTCGAATTTCTTTGTGCTGTACGTCATGTTCCGTGCTGTCATGAGCGAGTCTTTTCTGCTTTCTGGAGATCTTTTGCGTGCAGTGTCAGAACATGTCATGAAAAATAACATTCCTTATTCCAGTGAGATACAAGTAAGCTGAAATAAAATTACATTCGTTCTTCGTAGACAGCAATTCAGTTTTAAACCAGTACAATTAAATCACGTGATTCAAAGTTCATTCCTACTTCTCATTTCGTCTTTTCGCGGAGATCGTGACTTGGAGCGGTTTATGTCGAGTTTTCTAAAGAATCAAAGACACAAAACAGCGTAACAAATATAATTATTTCTCACAATTATGCAAATTCGTAGAACAACAAAGTTAAGCCGCTCTTAGAGTTTGATCGGGACTTAAAGTTATATTAGAAGTAATTGTGAAGTGAATTTGGCATCGACATTATGAATCAAGTTTATATATTATTTTAACAAGGAGATTCTATGATGTTACATCAGCAACTGAAACGTAAATAACTGCCAATGTGTTTGTGGATCTGCAAAATGAAAGATAAAGTTTCCCGAAATTTGTTGTATCCCCTCCATTTCCCAAGAATTGAAAATATGAAATCAATGATTGAAGGACTCTAAACTTGTCATCTCTGATACGTGTAATCAATTGTAATTTTTGCGTGTTATCTTCATCAAAACAATGTACTTTTCACATCAAAGACTGTTTTTCCTTCTACAGCTTGGCAGCGCAGATTTTTAGGTCATAGGTTGGTCGACGCGGCAGTGGATCTTCACAAACGGTAGTCGACTGAAAATAATAGCTAGTCCAACGTTGGACAATAAAAAAGTTCCGTTCGAACCGCATTGTCACGGCACGAGAAACCCGCTTCCCGAAGATCATTCTGTCCAGTTCGAAATCACTCTGATACTGCGCCCGTTAGTGTTGTCGAGACGTGCCAGCACTTTCTTGCACGATTCCACATCGTTCGATGGCTCTACACCAACTGAGTATGGCGTAACACTGACCAGACCAGTCACACAAAGGAGGGCACTGCTAGGCCAACGTATACGCCATCTCGATTCAAATTTAATCACTACTTATGGATACACTGTTATACACATACACCGATTTTTAAATTATTCCAGCCGTTTCTTCTGTGTGTTGCCATTTTCACACACATCAGTGTATAATACGAAGCACATATTCAGAAACTTAAAATATGCATGGACAAGGATACAACGGAACACTTTATTCAAGTCGTAAATGACGATGTGAAACGGGTCCGCTGTCTTCAACTCTTTAAAATATATTGACAATGCCATAAAAGTGTGTCAAGAAAATATAATGTACCATTTTAAAGTGAATAACAAACTTTTAATCCATTTTATTCGCAGATGACCACATAATTTTTATCACCTCAAACAACAATCTCTATATAGTGTCCCACTAACTTCAAAGAATAGGCAAAAACTATAAACTACAAATTTCATCAAAGAAAACGAAAACCATGACATTCCAGTAAACAAAAAATATTTAAGGTGTAAAATAGTTGTTAATGGTAACGGCACCTAACAAATAAATTAACTTTTCGTACTGTCAAAAGAATGATATTACATAATAAAAAATTCAGAAAATGTGCGGAACTATAAGAAACTGTACGTCTCAGACAGAAAGGACGTACAGACACTCAACTGAAATTTTACAAAACAATGACACTTTTACACCAATGATTACCTACGGTTGTGAAAATTGTGCCCTCAATAGAACATGAGAGAAAAAATGGAAGCCGCGTAAATGAGATTTCTTAGACCTTTGGCGGGCTATTCAACACTGGAGAGTATTTAATCTGAAAATACAAACAACTTATTAATAAAATTTTGGCAAAAGCATTCAAATGGAAACGGAATGTTCTTCAAATGCCTATATACCACAGGTAAGGAAAAAACTGATTCACTTGAAAAGTTCTGTAACACCTCTTGAACTTTTGTAATGTGTTTCAACAAACTCTGGTTTGTGCTCTCAAAATTCTTCGGAAGTATCTGCTTTAAGTTATAACAACTATGAAGAAAATAGTAGCTCCAGAGTGTTATCCGTTATCTGTCCTTGGCATCATGAACAAAACTTTACTGTGTCGGCAATATCCTGAGTTCTTTGTAGAGAGAGTTATTCTATGGAATTGAAATAATAGTTTTTTTTTTTTTCAGAAACACAAAATTAGTAAATAGTATAAGTGCATGAGAGATACGTATTTAATATTTTGCCTGAAAAAAAATATGTACAAACACAATATAATTAGTTTATGTGACATTTGGAGTTATGTCGTGATAATGGAGTAGAATAATCGTGAATAATGAAATATATCGTTTGAATCACAAAGTGCATAACACGAGAACCCGTAACGTAATGAAATAACTTCTACCCCTTGAACCTAAACGCTCCATTTCAAATACAATTCTACCCAAATGTGTTTACTTTCTCGTCTTATTACGTACATGGTAAGGAAAAAATATGAAGACTCTCACAGACCGGCGCGGAAGATCCACAGTCTACGCGCAATGGCCGCGGGGAAATGTTCGCGTCACGTGTTCCTTATGAGTACGATCAGATCTGCGCGGCAAGAGAGCACCGCGGCAGCGGATTGGCAGCGTTTTTATTTCCTGTGGATTTTGGAACACAGTCAGACGCATTTCGACCCTTGCCGTTCGAGTTTCGTGGAAGTCCGCCCGCCTTCGGAAGTCTTCGCTCCCCTCTGGGTTGAGCTTCCCTTGCCTTTGTTTATCAGATGAGGAAAACTGTCACCAAACGCTGAGTCACAATTGACGCTCCGGTGTAAACGGTCCCGCGGATTCCGCCACCTCGTCTAGCGCGGAATAAACCGCGCCGCACTCGCTGCGGATCTCCCGCACCGGTCTGTGAGAGCCTTAATAGTGCGACGAAAATTGGCGATTTTCACAAAATAGACACAATTTTTAATTTTTTATGTATAAAGCAAGGACGCTTAAAAATGTTACTGGTCTCAGTTTCGTTGAACTCGATGAATTTTTGGAACTTACAAATGTTTACATATTTTTGTAACTTACAAATATGAAATAATGCCAGGTGTAGTGACAAACGATTTATTTACACGTTTTGTAAGAATAGAGCACAAAACATAGAATTCAATGGCAGGAAGCTGTTTTCATTTCAACTTTGGAATTTTGGGAAAATTAAGGATGTTTTTAAAAACTCTCCCACTTTGTTTAGGAATCTTTCATGTGAAATAAGTGTAGGACAGAAGATGCAGTATTATAATATTGCAAACCATCACCAATACTGCAAGAAGAATGAGCTCTTGGTGCATCATCAGTTTACGTAAGCAAAAACTAATTAAAAAATCTGACAAGTCAGAAGAATTGTTTAGCAACCTGAATCAAGAGAATACGTGAAAAACTTCTACTAGAAATCGGGACTATAATCATATTGATTTTATTATGATGAGATATATAATTAAAAAAAATAATTTCACTTTGTAACACATGCACAATTAAAAATACACTTCATTTTATACCTTTGTAAAACAACATAGAGTCACATCACAAACATCATATTTCAGTTGTTAAGTAATTCACAACAGTCACACAATTCGCACCAAGAGTCACATATTGTCAAGACTTTTCAGCTATATTCAGAAGGCACACATAGAGTAGTTTATGAGTAGTGGAAAGTACCGGAGACTAAATTAGGACACATCAAAGGAAGAAAATTATGTACATAATGCTAGTTATTGTAACAAAAGACTTTCAGTGACGGATTTAATACTTTAAAATCATAAAACACAACTGCAAGTAATGTCCAGTTACACAAGACTATTTATGTTCTCTGTCACATCGTATAATGTTAAAAAAATCAATCGCTTTGAAGAGTAGTTGAGCCCTAAAATCATTAACAATCCCTGGGAAGCGATGTTGAAGACTTCTGCAGCAAGAGTCATGCAAATGATGAAGCCGCGTGTAAGGCTGTGATGCCGTCGCATTAATAATGTTATTAGGGTGTTCCTCAGGGATGAAGTACTTGAATCACTTTCCCCGGGTAGCCATGATCATTCAAAAATCCACTGTAGTTTCTTGCTTGCTTTTGATGTGAACACTTCTGTTTTAGTCAATCGAAATGCAAAATACTTAGAGATGGAGTCCGGACGAGGAAAGCAATAATAAGCAATGACGATATAAAGAAACCTTGTCCTTGCAAGAGTAAAATTACTTTCATTTGGATGAGAATATGGGATGAATCGTACTAGATTGAAAGAAATATTTGAAGAAATATTAGTTTCGAGTTCATAACTTGAAAAATTTCGTAAATAGTTCGAATTTTAAAAACGTTTCTTTAATATGGATTTCTATAATAAAATGTGTCTTTCTATATCGTATAATAATTTATACTCACGTCGTAATATTAATGAGTCACGTATATCATAACGAATATATGCACTTTAATAGGTCAACAGATACTGTAATCCATTAAAATCCATCCTTGTCTGGAGAGAAATGTCTGTTGTCTGACTTGTTTTTCAACGTCCGTTTTCTTTCTCGAAGGAGTACTCAATTGTCGAGAAAGGCGTCCATATTTCATTTCAACGACCGTCATAATATTGGAAACCTCCGTTTGTAATCGATCTTTCTTTGGTAACTGTCGGATTGGAAATATCATTCCTTTCGGCATTATTGGAGTACTTATTATGTTGACTTTATCTCTGAAACGCGAATATTTTCTCTCTTGCATGCAATATTACTGTTTTAGTTTACCTCTTAAGAGCTACATAATAATATCAGTAATAAGATAATTTTATTTATTTAACACGTACTTAATTATGCATATTCCTATGATTACTTTGCTTCCAAATAGTAATTTTATTAGATTTTTCATTTTTCATGTATTTTAATTGAAATTCATTTAACATCATTTAAAGTACAGATTATGCAATAACAAATATCAAATAAGGTGGAATCAAAAATAAATCATATTTGACAGTTTTCGCAAAACTGCAAAATAGGATAACTAACTATAATGAATTAGTAGTAGCTGTCCTCTACTACTACTTAGTAGTTGTCTACTACAACTACACAGTAGTTGTTTTCTTTTAAAATGTATTTTTATCCGATCGGCCAAAAGGTCGTTCGGAAATGAGAATCATAAATACATTAGTGTACTGGAAACTTAATAAAGTTATTTTGACATTGCCGAGTATTGTTACACGGCAATTACTGTATATTAAATTTTAGAATAATTTTATTGATGCGGTTGAAAATTAGGGAAAGAGGAGTACGTAATTTCTTTGGGATTCGAAAGTTTCTATTTGTGTTTGTTTTAAGGTTTGAAGATGTCTTTGGGGTATTTTGAGGTCATTCTGTTCGAGGTGTTTACTTGTTACCCTAATTCAAAATGGGTTGCACTTGGACAGAACGTAAAGAGTGTAAAAAATGCTCAGGATAAATTGATTAGATAATTTGTAATTGGGGTGTTTGAAGTTCAGATTGAATTTGCCTATCGGGTACAAATCATACTGAATTGAGAAGTGTTAGGAGAAACTTGTTTTAGAAGATTTCTATAGTTATAATAACGCTAAGCGCAATTGTATCCAAGCTAGAGAAGCACATGCCAATGTGGGTCTGAATATGATTTTGTAAACAAGTAGTTTGATTTCAATTTTCAAAGACAATGCCTCATTGGCGAGTAGGCTACGTATCTATATAGATTGACAGCTTTTGCTGTATTTTTGTAGAACTGACTTAATGTGTTGCTACCATGCTAAACTTCTATTAGTACTCCAAGATATTTTAAAGGCTTATAATTATTTGACCAGGGGAGTTAGTAGTGATTTATTGTTAGAGGAATTAATCTTGAGTCTCCATTTGTGAAACCAACCAGTGAGGATGTCAATGTGAGATAGTACATGATAATATGCTAATAAAATGTTTAGTCGGGAGGAGAATATTGTTTCATCTGCAAATAATTATATTTTTGAATTAATTAATTGTCATCATGACGAATGATTGACCATTTGATTGTTTAATTAACCTATTAAGACACAAGGTAGCTAACAAACTTCAACGCAAGCCCTTTATGCCGACCATCCTTAATAACGTGGATTCATATTAGTCCACTAAATATGTAATTTACTCAATTGTAAACACGACCAATTTAATTTGTCAATTTCTTCCGGCATGCGATCTTAAGTCGAATAAAAACCAAAGAAGTTGTAATATATGCAGGGGACTTATTTATTAATCAATAATATATTCACATACCACTGCTTTTTCACGGCTACATTCACTAATAATCCTTATTATACTTATAATATATTTATATATATATACATATATATATATCCATATATAATATATATATATATATATATGTGGTGTGTTGTGGTGGTGTGTGTCAATTAAATTTTTCATTTTTTCTCATAACAGACCTTTATTAAGAATTCCATAAAAATGTATGTCTCGCTTTCGATGTTCTGCGAGACACGTTACAGAACTACACGCCACTTCAGGCAATTCGCAGAAACGACAAAAAATGTGATACCAACCTACAGGTACCCAACCTAAAGGTGTCCCTTAATAACCGCACACGGTAGCTGCCATCATAATCATCGTATCTAAAAAAGCCAATGTTGATTTTCTTGGTAGCGACATAATATATTCATAATAACGCCGGAAACCCAGTTTAATTGCTTGCGGCAGCAAACTTCAATTTTACACCAGGCTGTACAAGGACAACTCTCAACGCCCCAGATTGCCGTTGTTACAACCACAACAAGACAACAATTAAGAACACACCTTCATACTATCAGAAAGATTCAAATAAATGCATTAATTAAAAAAATTAAATAAATTTCTTTTGAATTACTGCTCTGCAGACTTTGTTTACGAGGTAGCCGTGTGGTCCTCCTCAAATACTGTCAGTCGAAAGGCCAAAAAGTATGTGTAATAATAAATTGTAAATTAAAACCCCTGAAAGGCCTATTATGCCGAACAGGCAGAAAAATAAATTTAAAAAAAAGAAAGACAATAATTTAGTCAATTTTTCGCTGGTGTTCTAGCATCAGTTCCAACCGAGCAACCGTGTGAAATGGCGGAAATGGAAACTTTATTCCAGATGAGTATTGTTATATGAACGAGATAATATAGGGGGCATGCCGCGGCAACGCCAGTGTTGCTATGCATGTGTACGTCGCGCATATCTTACTTGCCGTCATCCGTTGTGCAACGTCTTGCGTCGTTCCAATTCACGACTGTGTTCAGCGTGCATCGTGCTTCCGCGCCTAAGTGCCGACAACGGACGGTCGCGCCATCGTAGTAATCCACCCAAAGTATTTCAAGCAACGGAGGACGAGCTTGATAGCAGGGGCTTTAACCGAAGGTCGCGCGTTCCGAGGACGACTGTGCATCCAGTTCTACAGGAGGACGCTTCATTTCAAGCAGGCGCAAGGTCTACGGGATGGCGAATTGTGAGCGGCTGGTATACTGCGACGCAAACAAGAGCCAAATATATTGCACTCGTGTAGCGGACCGATGAAGTCAAATGTACTCAAGACGGTGTCGTCTAAGCGCACAATTGTTGTGGGCACACGAAAATTACCGTGTCAGGCTGCTGTATCGCTACCAGTTTTGGTGGAAAATTAATGTCTGGGCAGGCACTCTAAGCCATCAGGTAATTGCACCAAGACGTTATTTCACCTTTGCTTACCGCAACCAATTATCTTTGTAATTGCTTATTGTGCAATTGTTTTCAAACGTCAGAATTTGTATTAGTGAGAGAGCATTGTTTTCTCGCTAACTAACCATACGCAAGTTCGCGCGGTGCGTCGCGAGGTCTGCATCTTCCAATTATGTGTTACTCTGAAAGCAGCGTGTCGACGCGTGTAATATTGGGTATCGTCGTGTTTCTCGGCCTGTCAATCACAACGGCACTCTTCGTATGGGTGTATTCAGGAACATCCAGTATCAGATGGCATTTCTCGAAATGCATCACTGTGTTGAGAATGATCGAAGCCATTGATATCAACGAATAAATGTGAGATTGCTGTCACACAAGGAGCAACGATGCGCTCTAGGACGGACCACATGCATAAGAAAGGGGGTGACAGGAATAGCTGAAAGGATAGATAAATGGTTGTAATAGGAAAAAAGTAAATTATATTGTCTCTTTGTCAATGTGTCTGATACACAAACCACAATAATTAAGACAGATAATAATGTTATAGAAGGCGTGGACGGAATAGACCAATCTAAAGCGGTATGCCGGTAAAAATTAGAGAAATGGAGGTAGGTAGTTTTGCTTACTTCATGGATGTCTTTGTAGTACTTGTAGGTACGAGATCGTACAGAGTTGATGTACCGAAAAATAATGCAATCAATGATTTTATACTTTGTCGAACATTCCAAGAAAAGTGTCATCAGGGAGTGGCTTTCGTTTTAAAAAAAAATATTACTATTCAGAACCAAAATGTTCGGCTGCCATAGCAATTTTATAAAACAGGATATTAAATAAAAATATACAACATTATTTTTAAACAATGCTATACGACCTTTAGCCTACACGTTTCACGCAATTCCGCAATGTCTGAAGAAACTGTTAGGATGGGTTATTTTATTACTTTTTGAGACATGTCGCCGGATGTGTTATCTGTAGATTATAACCTCGTCACCCTGACCTGTTGAAGCTGCGATGTTCCTACCTTTGGCACCCACAACTCAACGTGTAATCTAAATCAAGCATCTGCTCACCCAGGCGCTCCGCTGCAGCAACGTCAGTGTCTTCAGTGCATGAAGTCAGCCGAAATGGACGGCGGATTTCTCGAACCCTATAAACCAAAACATATCTGAGCGTTTTTTCATTTTAAACTATCATAATTAACACTACTACAAACACATACTTTGAAACAACTTTAAGCACTCATGGTTGAAAACTGAGAAGAATTGTCACTGGGCCTCCAAGGAACCACGGTATCTTTAATTTTGAAGTGCGAGAGAATGCGGAGTCATAGCGTAAATATTTATGTGGACGAACATTTACGGACACTGCCGATATAGGTCGATCAAATATACGTCGAAACCACATGTAATTCGAATATTAGTATCTATGGTAAATAAAGCTGCATCTTCACACATCGAAATGTTTGTGAATGTCTGGTATGTACACATAGAAGAAGGTTGGTGCGGAAATGAAATCTCGTGGGGACTCCAGCACAAATCGGATATGATGATTTTTTTTTAAATTTTCGCTTCAATTTCTCTCTCCACACAAAAAACTACTTATTGTGTCTAATAGATATTGGGGTAAGCCTGTTTCATGAAATTGTTTATGAGGCCAGTATGCCACATTGTCAAAGTTTGGGTAATGACTAAAAATATGTGTCCCTTATATCTATTATTTTAGAAGATATTTGGTATGGCTCCGTTAGACGTACGAGATGATATGTTCAGAGTTTGTTTCAAAACGCACTAGTAAGATGGAATAGAAAACCGTAATTAAAAAGTTTTTATGTTGTGTAGTAGGTTATTAAAATTTTTGCTGACGTTGAAAAAAGACTAATTGGGTGAAAGCTAACCAGTTTTTGAAAGTAATATCCTGATTTGTATAACCATACTATTACGATATTTTTTTCTGGTTGTTCCAAGATTGCCTATTTTAATACATGCAAGGTAATGAGCTATTTTAATGTAAATTCATGATCATTGAATGGGATTAGGAATGTTTGGCATTAAGAAGACTGCGTTACTCTGGTTTTGGAACATAATGCCGTTTTCGAAAATCGGATGATAAGAGAAATGGTCGTGTTTTTGTAGGTTATTGTTTCTTACACTAACATCGAAGGGACTAGTATCTAGCAAGGAAGTAGTGACTTAACCTTTATTATTTTCTACCGTTATGCTTGCCAATTTAAACTCCTGAAAGAACAAAATTGAATACTTGAATTGAAATGAACTATAGGTTAAAATTAGGAAATGTATAATGATGTCATCGCGTTTGCAACTCGCTCCACAACAACAACAACAACAACAACAACAACAACAATAATAATAATAATAATAATAATAATAATAATAATAATAATAATAACCATTAGATAAAGTTGATTTAATTCCTGAAATCACCTGGGAAATCAACATTTAATTCTAGTATCAATATTGGAAATCATTCTGTATTCTTTTTCACTTCATCGGGCAAATGAGCAAAAAATCGGATAAAAAAGCAAAATTTTTCAAAAATGTCATGTGACCTTTTTGTTCCGGACCTCCACAAATTATTAGAATATATTACAGGTATCATTCCTCCTTTCTATCAATTGCCTAGAACTTCTTTGTGGGATATTACTAGATATTACTATATGCCTTACGTCCCGGAAACAATTTCTGCAGCAAGGTCATTCCGCGGGGTAGCCCCAACATGGCTGCACGTTTACACGGACGTGTAAATCACAAGCGCTATTACCGTGGCCCTCGGGGACAAAAATTGCAATTGCCTCGCACAAGATACTGAGGAACCGGTCCTGGGAGCGGAGATAGGATCGTGGACAAACAAAAAGTCGCAGGGAGCGAGTAATTACGAAGGGTATATGCTTCCGAAAAGCTATATAACTTGCAGTGAAGTTTGCACGAGAGACTTTAAAAAATCTTCCCCAGTGGCTATTCTTTAAAATAAACGAATAATGCTGGAAGAAGAGTGAAAGCAAAAAATCTGTTCTATTACCCCTATCAGGAAAAACAAACACGAAAATAAAAATAACACTACTTTTTCTTTCGAAAGTAGGTCACTGAGTGAAGTCATAAACAGTACTTAATAATGTCCGAAATATTAGGCGTGAAAGAAGATCTTTAATCAAGTACTGGGCGTAGAATTTTCGTAGTATAAAAATCATTATAAATCACTGGCGACAGACGCGCAGAAAAATTAAATTACGCAACGAGCAACCTACGTTCCTCGAGTATTTTATGCGCCTGTGAATCTACTCCAACCTCACGAACAACTTCTCAAATAAGTTGGCGAGTGTCCGTTGCCAGTCGAGGGGAACTTGGCCAAACTTGCGAAACTGACGCCTGCGCTTTCTGGCACAACTCAGCAAGTGGCAACTTCGTATTAGCTTCTAATTACAAGACCCGGCTATTAGTACAGTTCAGCGGCTACTTACTCGCGTCCTCGTTAGAATCGCGGCCAGCCTAAGTGGCTCGTTGCTGAGAAAGGGTCCTGACAATTAGCAACAACCTCCCCCGCAGAGGTTGTCTGGGTTATCCCACTGGCACATTCTCTAGATTCCACTATTTACGCCAGCTCCATACTAGCACCTATACTTAGCTGAATAGTATAACATTGTGATTCGATTTTCACAAATTTGAAGTTTTTACTAAGTGACAAAATTGGGTGTCTATGATCTACTAGACCAAATTTCTCAGTTTGTAGACGTGACAACACCAGTCAGGTGATCCAGTGAACTTGAGTTTTGTGAACTGAATATCACTCTAATATATAAATACAAGGATAAAATGTTTGTATCAATGCAGAAATCGTATACACCGACCATGTTGGTTTCCTCACTCTCAAATAATTCAGATATTTGTAACTGTTTTAATATTAAATAAATAAACGTATTAAGCAATTACTCAATATCAACATTCCTTTATACTTTACTGTATAAATCCCAAAATACTTTCCATTCTTTCAAACTTATTATTTACGAATTAGTTAAAATTGTACCATTTATTTTAATGTGATAATAATACCATTTAGTACCGTATAACTCGTGACTAGTAATATATAAAAAATTAAAACATTATTCGCCCAATTCTGTGAAGTTTGCACACAGTGGCTTAAGATGCAAGGGTAAGCTAACACAAAAAATTACGAATAACAAAAATGATTATCAATGTTCATTTTTATTGATAATTGTCAATGCACATTACAACATAGCTCGTGTTTACAGGTCTTCCCGTTTCTTTTTTGCCTAATTGCGATCGTCTTCAACCAAATATGGAGGCTCCGGTATTCGAAATCCTAACGCATGCGCATTAAGTGGTTCTGTGAGAAGCACATTCAGAGAGTAATAGACAGCAAGTTTCTTTACCAGCTTATCTTTTCGACGTGATGAACGTCGTTCGACGCCCGTGGCGGGCACTAACATACCGTCATAAGCACACTCAGCCCGACTTTTCCAAATGAGCTTCTGATAAAAAGAGAAGACAGGAAGCAACAGAACGTGCCGCTAGTAGTGAGATGAAGAACAGGAGCATTGTTCAATTCAATTAAATTAAGTCTTTCTTTCCGTGGCGAGTCTCAGATCATCAGCCTAGTCTTCCACCTGACCAAGGAAATGCCGCATCGCTCTTCTCACCATCTAGCGGAGAAACAAGGTAATCACTCGGCTATAAAACAGGCGATTTAAATTTATCTCGGAGGCTTCTTTCAGGCTTGGGGATGTTTTATATTCAGTGAATCTACTACAAGGGACAGCCGGCTATACTTCCCCTCCGACGGCATGCAAACGAAGAATATTTTCGCCCTTCAAAATCCACAGTTTGAAACCCGTGATCTTTCGTATAAAAACTTGAAACGCTAACCATTACATCATCGAAGTCAAGCATTCAGACGCACTCTCAATGTTAAAAAGATGATTTTAAGAGTAGTGTTAAAAACAATGTAAATATTGCTTTTTAGAGGTTTTCTTTTTTCTGCGAAATAAATACTTTACAATGATTGCCCGCTCAATAAGCATTCAATTCAGGTTACCTCGATATTTCATGGACTGCTTGCGCAAGCAGAGAGAGAGAGAGTGGGAGAGAGAGAAAAAGAGGGAGGGAAAGAGAGAGAGAGAGAGGGAAAGAGAGGGAGAGAGGGAAAGAGAGGGAGAGAGGGAAAGAGAGGGAGAGAGGGAAAGAGAGGGAAAAGAAGGAAAAAGAGATCGTGCGTGTGTGTGTGTGTTCAGAAGACTTTTTTGTATTGGAGGAAACACTGTGGAATAGACAAGTCTTATATAATCATATGGTTAAACGAGTTTCAGTAATTATCAATAAATGATCTGATCCGATTTGACACGTAGGATATGAAAGTTCATCGTTAGTAGCTCAAATAAGCATATACTATTTGGTTTGAAGTCTACCCAAAAAAAATGATAACGCTCTGCTACGACCTGCAAGAGAATTTTAGGCTGAAAAAGGTTGAGAATCGATTGTCTAGTCATTACAAAGTCCGTAAAGGAATGGAGCGAAGATAGACAAAAGTATTCCCATTATTTGCATGCATAATGCTTTCGTTTAGTGTTTCTTTCATTGTTACTTCTAAAACGATGTTTGAATAACGAAAAAAAAGATGGACCGGATGGATAAGCAATATAAGTAATAAAACCACTGTAAATGCCGTACTTTACAACCTATCCATTTAATGCAAACTAAACTAACTATTTTTGTCTTTTTACTAATTTGAAACGGAGAAACTAGTTCAAATCGTCTCTAAAAAAAATCCATAAAAAAACTTTCTGCAGGAACTGATGCTGTGCGAAGAGAAAAGTGTATGTCGAAATATTGGAATCTATGAGAGGCGCCGGCGAGAGATGAAAGGAAAGACCCTTCAAAGTTTAACTACTCTCTGTGCCAGTGCAGTAAATCTACGCTGTGCGCTGGGGAAACGAACTAGCTTTTTATATTAGTTTTTTCCCAGTCGCTTCGCGAGTCGCTTCGAGCGGCCGTCACCATTGGCTGGGAGCCAAGATGCAGGTTCGCCAGCCTCTCAAGGCGTCGCCGGCGTCGGCGGCAGCGTGCGCGAAACGGTCGCACCGCACAGTATTGCGGGTGAGAGAGCGTCCACCAAGCAGTATATTACACGGAGAGAGAGATTGGCGCAGACATTAAACGACAGTATTTAGGTTCGGAATCGAAACAGAACGGTCTTGTTGGAAGTCAAACGGCGTTTAATTCGAGACGAATCCTTTTCGAGCATTTGGCTAGAATGATCACTGCCATATGTTGCGATGGATTAAAGGCGCGAATAGAACGAGAAGTACAGAAATGAAAAGGAAGAGAATCACTTCACCTTTATGTGAAATATTTTTAACGTGTTTTGTTACAATTGTGTGATACAACATTGGAAGCATGATTAAATTTGTGCCATTAGTGTCAATAAATGTTTTGAGCCAGAACGCAGTTGTCTGTATGTTTAGAAATCCATGTATTATAGCATTTTATGGAGACAAGATTCTGTTTTATGAACTTTGTCTCGGCAAAAATCGCCCTCTTAGAGAGTGTTTAATATTTACAATCTATTAGATAAACTTTAAAGCACACTATTTTACATTCTAAGTTTTCTTCTCGGTAAATATTAACACTTTCAAGATTAAGCCTTCACTTGAAAGCTTCATCAACTTTATCTGAATGCAAATTTAGATACCCACTAAAGACTTACAGTCGTCGATCGCCTGCGTGTTCGCGTCTAATGTTTTGCGGGTTGGAAACATTTCTGCGCGTCGACGTAGTAATGATATAACGAAACCCTTACAAATAACATGTAAAAGTGTGAGCTGTAGTGGCCCCACAACCTAATATTCTTATTCTACTATATGGAATATCTTCTGCTTTAAGGAAGTAACTAATGTCAGAACTCCTGAATAGCTTACCATCCATACCTCTAGATATCTTTCGATACCTTTTAATCCATTTTTTCATCTTTAATCTAATTTTAATTAACTAGAAAATAGTAGAATAATAATATTTCAGAATGACCTAGTGATTTATTATAAGCAGAAACTAGTAATTTGCCATAAGTTAAAAGAACCGAGAACTAATTAGATTCACGGAGGATTATATTTAGAAAATGCTCGAGTGCACACCATGATTTTAAAACAACTTGAATTATTTTCATCTCATTCTTTTTTTTCAGTTTGTTTATATTTGGACAAGTATTGCCCTCCTCTGTGTATACAATACAATTGCATTTCAAATGAAAGACAAATATGGAATGATACGTTCTCACGTGTACGATGTTTCGTGGAATTTTGTATAAAAATCAAAGTAATGAGTGCGAAAATTATAGAGTTTTCGGCAAACGTTTTGGTGATAATGAATAATTTACGAGAAACTCTAGACGGTAACTGTAAATATTACCAGGTTTTTTTCAGAGTACGTTGTTTCCATATGTAAAAACAAATATTATTCATACGGTTTGCTACTTGAAGTCCTTATCTTTAAAAGACACCATCAAGCAGCTGTCATTTATAAAAAAATGACAAAAATGGCACTACAAGAATATAGAAATACGACACACATTGTTTCATAATTTATTCGCTTACTAGGTGGAAAAGAAGATTACTAGGAATGAGCTATAAGTCATTGAAATTAACACAAACTTTCATCAGATTGTGCGAAGAACATGACTTAATTGTTTTTCAAAACAAATTGTATTTCACATGTCCTGCTGCTGTGTGTTATTTAGGCCAGAACGGAGATATAGCACAAAAGCTATGACGCTTTTCGAAGTTTAGTCATAACTACCCGTTCGTGCTGGACGATTAAACAGTACAGATATTCGTAAATATCCTACCTCTTCTTACCAGAAAATCGAGAGCAGCAAGACTAAGAGCTAAAAAAATTATCTGTGTGTCACCATACGCAGTCTCGCATGGTGCAAACTTATGGTGCCGCCAGAACGGTGGCGCACGTGTTTGGTGGAGTAGCTCACGTTGCATGACAGGCTAACAAGACGCATCGGCATGGTCGAGACCACACGCAATAAAGTTTATAGCACATAGGATCTCTGAAAAGTTCCACAACACTACGATGTGTATTCGTGTTGAAACTTGTGATGAAAACACTATAAAGAAGTCAGATGCAAAAGTATATTAAACATTCTGCGACTTAATTTTTTTTAAAATAAACTGGAGATCCTTGCACCTCGACAATTTAGATTTTTCTCAAAATAGGATTCATTTTTTTGTTTATTTTTTTGGATTTAGCAAATAACTCTTAAAAATATTGCAGGTATCGTTTTTGTTGAACATTCTGAATTTTCTAGCGTTGCGGAAATTTGAAATAAAGGGAGAAAGTATGTGCTGTTATATGGACTTGTTTTAGTTTACCATCAGTTTACCTAATAATCAAATTAATTAGCTTTATACACAAACACAGCAAACACTGTATTTAAACTTTTCGTCGAAATCTGCGACTTCGTTCCAATGAAGATTTCGTTTCCTCACCTGTAATTGACTCTTCTTTACTACATATTCAATCCTAGCACTGACGTGGCAATGTTAAATTCCAGCTGTATTTTACACAATTAATTATATTAAACTAGGAGTGCTAAAGCAGCACGTACTTTCTGGAAAAATTGCGCAAAAAGTACTCATTTTCGAAAAACTGTACACGACCGTATATCAAAACCAATCTTTAGAGATCAGAATTCGCTATGGAAAAATGTCTATCACCATAATTGTAGTTGAAGTATGACGCATAAAAACTTCTGGATTTTTGCTATTTTCAAAAAATCAGAATTTTTAACAAAGGTGAGACCTCCACCAAACTTGTAAACGTTATTTACTCTATCCAACAACAGAATTCAGTATAAGACGATGAAGCCATTTTTTTTTAATTTGGAAAATGTCCCAGTGGCTTCATGTAAAGTACCCCCAAAATTAAAATATCCGTTTCAGTTGAAGGGGCCGCAACATAAGCCAGATCTATTGGAGAATATCAAATTTGGAGAAAATTGGCTGAACGGTTTAGTGTCTAGCTTTGTTAACAGACGAACTTTTGCGGTCTTTCAATTTTTAGGTATCAAGTACCTACAAAACGGATTCACTGGCACACCACGTGTTAAAAGATTTCTCCAAAATGTAGCAACTGGATTTATCATCTTTTTTAGTTACCAGGGCAATGTAATAAGTTTTCCGTCGAGGATTCGCCGTTATTTAGCGCAGCATTACATAACATTCTCTCTACTGCGTAAGTGGTAGCGAGAAAGTAAAAATAAATAAAGATTAGATGAATTATACATGTGGAGGATGTAGAAGAGGCAAAGATAATAACTTTTGCCTGGTCACATATAACGAAGTCATCTGTACGACATTTTCCTCTAATTGGTAGGAGAGCGTTACATACCGGTGTTTGGCAGGTGTGCGAAATTCCATTGAGTACGTTGATGCATGGCCTATCAAACATCAATTTATGATGAGTATATCCTATTTCTTATTTATGCCAAATATCTTATTTCTCTCAATTATGAGACAACAAAATGAGGTAAACGTATTTGGTTACTGAACTTTTTTTTTTCCAGAAGAGATTCGACAGATTGATCATAAGTAAATCAGATGCTTCACATTTATACCAAGTAAATAAAGGATGTCCAAACGTTAGAAAGTTTGACACACTGGAGATTTAAACTGTTTAGTTTGTCAGTAGCTTGAATCGGAGAGCAATATATTACACCCGAATTCTTAAACTCGCACCAAGTGTGGCCAAAATCAGACTAGTACCAATGGAGTCTGTCCCTGCCGCGAAAAGTTTTTTCATAAGCATGAAGCACAAAAATACTTCTAAATAACATTTAGCCTTTTCGTCTCAAAATTTCTCACATCCGATATGCACGCATTCCTCTTCGTTCAAAGTCTCGGTGAGGCTCTTCGTTACAAGTTTTGGTAGGCCTTTTAAATTAACGTAAAGGAGTCCTATGATCGAGTATTTCCTATTGTTCCATACCTATTATTAATAATAACACAAAACGCTAAAAAAGGTTTTTTCATGCCATTTCAATTAATAAAATCTACGCTGGGCCTTTTAAAGCAAGCAGCAGGAGGGTTATTTAGAAACGCACAATTATTCAGTGAATCGTCGCTGCGCCAGAGAAATGGCGTCTCAAAATTCGTCATCTTTGACATTAAGTAAAAAATGTGTTTAAAAAAGGTATATTTTGCTTTAAGAAGAATATGAAGATAGTCGGTATACTATATGGCAAATGGCCGGTATACTATACCGGTATTCTAAACGAAACCCCGCTAATTAACCGTTCCCTGCAAAATGCGACTTTTTTTTGGGGATGTTTCACTTTTCTTACGTAGCGGCGGTATGATTGAAGTGTTTATGAAGAAAATGCGACCCAACCCGATTACGGACACCCCCTTATGCTCACTTGGAAGGTAGCCCAACGTGTGCCCTCGCGCGCAGGTCGCCAGCCCAGCCAGTACCAGGACCTGTCGGCGCGGGGTCGCGGCGCCATCCGCGGCCTGCAGCTCTTCCCGAACGGCACGCTGCTGCTGCGGCCCGCGCTGCCCGAGCACCAGGGCCAGTACCTGTGCGAGGCCACCAACGGCATCGGCCACGGCCTCAGCGCCTCCGTGCGCCTCGTCGTCCACAGTGAGTAGCCACGCCTCGCCACGCCCACGGCGCCACTCTGCCCTCCTCTCCCCGACACCTTCCTTCACCTTTCCACTCGGCTTAATCGCCGCTCCTAATGGAGACAGTGAGCGCAGTACCGGCCTAACTGCATTCTGACGCGAGAGCAAGTGTCTTCTAACTGCCATCTCCTAATCATTGCAGTCACGGCAAACTCCTGTTACGGCACTACTGCGCTCGACCTCAATTTGCCGAGAGGGCCTTGGGTTCGAGTTCTGTCGGTGGCGGATTTTTGACACTAGACAAACTCTCATGTCGAATTCAGATGCTGCCTGAAGGAGAATTCTAGCGGACGGCTGCCCTGGTCGGTAGTTTTCCGTGGCTCTCCGATCAGTATCAGGCCGCAGTAGTACCTTAACAAATGGAGCCCGGACTGCGCGCGATATTCCCTTCCTTCACGCTTAGCACATACACTTAAACGTAGATGTACTGTACTACCATGCATATCGGGGGACCATTTGGGAGCTGAGAGCTTTTTCAGGTTGGGGCGGTGCCGCGAAGAAATAACGCCACATCTCGGCTATACAAAAACACCGACCTCACGAGACTAATGAGAAAAGTAAATGACGCGCCTTGTGTAGCGTCGCAATCGTCAGTAACGCAAAGCAGGGGCCAGCTGACCATCAGCTAACTGCTTAAAAATAATTTATTTCTTAGCAACAACGAACTTTTATTATTTCGGTTATTGAACATCCAGTACGTATGGATATATTCAAAAAACTATCAACAGCCTATCTATTACAGATATCGTGGATCTGAGAAGTAATTGTAGGTCTACTCTCTTCAGTTTGTTTGTCTTAAGATCCCCAAACCTTCTCGTATTTCTAAGCAGAACATACGAGTATTACGTTACACCTGTAATCGAGTGAGTCAGTCAGTATTTCATGAAATACTGACTGACTCACGGAGTCAGTCTAAAGAGCAATGAAGGTACAGTGAGAATGAAAAATATGTATTCCTTCCAATCCATGTTTTAACTGAATTCACGATTAAAAACAGTCGCTGGTGGTTGAAGACGAATTATATGTTCAAACGGGTGATTCACAAAATTATTATGTACAAAGCAAATAAAAATCAAATTTTAATATTTTAATGATATTTCATTTTCACACATGGGTACTATGGCAATTCAATGTCATTATTTTAGTAGGGAACGTTATAAAGTGTACAACGCACTTGTTAATTGGACGAGGCTGAAGAGAAAGCATTTTATCTTTGTGATTTACAAATTTTCTATTCGCAGTAAAACAATTTAAAATTTACTTAAGTTTGTGCAACTGGAGTTCCCGGAATAAAATGTTTTAGAATCATAAGAATATGATAGTTGATAATGTAATAAAAAGCACATCATTATATAATGCCCTAAAGTGCCATGTCTAGTTCAGGAGAATAAGTAGAGAGAAGTATTACTAGAAAAGAGGATACAGTTCATAAACTATTTATGTTTGAAATTTAAAACACACTAAGAAAATCCAATTAAGTGTAAATTGAAAATCAATTAAAAATATATTATTACATTGTAGAGGTAAATAATGAATGAAATCTAACCATGGTTTAAAGAAATAAATTTTTCGTGAAAATCTTTAAACCGAAGTTATTTTGTTGTAGTCTACTGCATGTGACACTGAACTTAATTTCTCTCTGCATATGATAGAGATACTACGGGTGTTGACAGATAATGGAATCAGTAGTGACAAAGTCGGACCATTCAAAGGAAAGAATGCCGCGTGACACAGTCAGTATGTAATACGTCTAAGCGTAATGGAGTTGAAAATGTAGATGGCATTAAACTAATGACCAAATGATGTCTTTCTGTACTGAGTGAAACCTACATTTGTTTTATAAGTGAATAAAAAGGAAATTATGATGATCTGACGGATCGTGAAGTTTTCTGACACAGATATTGCAATTTATTATGTGTTCTCTGAAAATTAACGGGTCGAATAGATAATCGCATTGCAATTGAATCACATGTTTATTACCAAAAAGAAAGTGCTGTAAAAAACAAATAAAAATTAATCTGAACCAGTTTCAGTCCTTCTTTAAAAGAAAAAGGATATTGGTTTCTTTCATATAATAAAAGAAATGTTTGAGAACATATATTTGTATATATCAAGTAAGTTTTTATGTAATATCGTCGAAACGGTTGACGGTATTAATCGCAGATTATGGGAAATTCATTACGCATGGGACAGTAACACTACAAACATCCAGTTCAAACTCGTAGAGAAATATAATTAGCAAAGAAATACGACGAACTAATCTATATTACTAATTTCCGATGCGTTCAGAAATTCAAGGCATGTAGCTTCCCCATGTTGTTTATAGCCACGTCAAGGTATCTATGGATTCGTTAGATTCCCAAAAAATTGAAAAAAATATTATTATTTTTTAATAAATGATGACAAACTATTTTGCCTTCAGCCATGTGAAAGGAGTCTGTGTAGTTTTGGTGGAAGCCCAAGAACTTGGAAAAAAAGTTCAAAAACAAAGAAACAGTTTCGATTTTGACTTAAAAATGAAAATCTTTGATAGTGTCATTCCGTCTTTCTTACACTGCGCGTGCCGACTGAATCCTCTAATACAGTTCACCTCCGCTTACAACATAGCTACCGTTACGCGTCAGCAGGCTCCAAGTTCAGTGGTTGAAATACAGAACAGAAACTTTTTAATGTTCTTGGTATGTAAAGAACAGTTGTACTATATGTAAATTCTACCATGTTGTTGCAGTAATCGTGCATATAGTTTTGTTAAAATATTTAATTTGTTTTCATTGTTATGAGAGATAATTTACTTGTTTTTCTTAAGCAGTGGGTATACCATTTTTTGAAAGACGTTTAATGTAGTTTTGATGCTGCTTTTTGTCTTGCTGTAGGGCACTAGTTCCATTCTATTGGTACCTATTTCGGCGGTATACAAGAATGCGACACATCAAAATGTCTATTTGCTGAAGTACGGTTTTATCCGGTACCGGTTGTCTTGTGAATCACCTTTACAATTTTTTTACACGTAATAATACTAATTTTCTAAACGTATTTCTTCGGTTTTCAACAAAAATTGATTTTTGTGTTTTGTCACTTTGCTTGATTTTACCAGCCATTTATTTTTATCAAAGAAATGAAGTCCGTGACATTTTTTTAAAATTTTTGCCTACTACGTAGTGTAGGGGCTATATAAGGGGCTTCTTTTATAGAGATATAGAATATTCCTGTCATCGAACTGAAAGCACTCAAGAATTCTCCTTGAACATATGAGCAAAGCATCCCTAGCTTCCAAATAAAATAATCGATCGCTTTATTTACCACTGAGCTGTTGGGAACCAATTCGAAGGTAATCACGTAAGGTCTGAAAAAGAAGATTGCTTTGTTATCGATCTCGAGAAAAAGGGTGAGCAATACTCGAAAGATATATTTATTCAAAAGAACACACTCACTTAAACTTGAAATTTTTTCTGCTCTTCTTACTTCAACGGTTTAGAAGAACATAGGTAATAATTATATACGGCAATATTCTATTACGCATCAAGACGTTCATAAAAAAATGAAAAAGCGTACCCAACACAGACTACACAACACATGCCTGCTCTTCAGGTACGAAAATGTTAGTGAGAAGGGAATTCCGAGAGATATACAAGCATTGTATAATGTGAACAAGGGTAATTACGTTTATATTAAGTTGTACTTCAGAATATTTCTAACTTTCAAAATTGTACATTTTTACAGAGAAATCGGTAAAATAATAATTTTAAATATCTGTTAAAATCGAATCGCAACAAATGATGCAATAACATCTGGTAAACCTGTACTTTGTATCTCTGGGCGCAGCTCGTTTTATACGTTTGGGAATACGCATATATAGAGCCACACGTGCGCACCGGGGCGTTTCCGAGTATCCCCACGCACACAATGCCATATCACTCCCCATCTGGGCCTCACTTGTTACAGTATACACTTATCTCGCTTCATCCCTTTCGCATGTGTCTTTTACTCTCTCGCACACGGTCATGTACCCCGGCCTTCACGCACGCAACCCGCATTCTATGACGCGGCTGCGCGCGGCCACAAGTAACCTTTTACTGTCAGAGCTTCCAGGTCGGCTTTGTTACGTCTCATTCGCTCCATCTCTTCGCCAAGTTCAGCGCCCGTTTATCTCAATTCTTGCTTTGAAGACTCCTCCGAGACGAACCGGGAAACTTAAAATCGAGCACTTTCGCCGTAACTACGACTCCGTGCTTTCCTCTTTCCTTTTCTTTGGTCAACGCCTTCTCTTCAGAATAATGAGATCGACCACTTCTGTGCTAACTTCTACATGAAAGTTCATTTAATTAAATAAATAGACGAAACGTACATAAGTGTCAGTAGTTAATATATTTATTCATGAAAAATCGAAACTACTGCCAATATTGTAAAACAACGTAACTTAACCAAACATAATACTGTATCAAAATTTAAAGAAGTATAGCAGGAAATTCGATGGTATGGCTTTCGCCAAATTTGTATTTATGGGATGATCGATCGCCGCATCAAACATGTACGCTATAATTGTATTGCGGGCCCGAAATATCATCTGATGTCCAGGCACTTTCCGGTATCTAATACCGACGATCGTTATGCTCAAACTCAACTTTCC